GCCTAGATTTGTGATTTCATTAGTTTAAAATAAACCATTTTATATTTCTATAGTGTGTATGTCATAATCCTGGGTCTGCTGACCCAGCGTTTTGTGTTTAGTTTATTTAGGTTTCTTCCTGTTAAAAGGGAGTTTTTCCTTCCCACTGTCGCCAAAGTGCTTGCTCATAAGGGGTCATATGATTGTTGGGTTTTTCTCTGTATCTATGAAGCGCCTTGAGGCGACTTTTGTTGTGATTTGGCGCTATATAAATAAAATTGAATTGAATTGAATTGTTTGAGTCTAATTGTTTTTTAAATTCGACTCTTAATTTCAATCTGATCCTCAAAAAGAACTCCTTGAGGAAAAACAGCAGTGGGTTTAATTTCTAGCTTGATGGTAAAAAACAAATGTGGTCCTTCATGGCAGCTACTTTTAAAACTTGATTTTTCATTTAGATTTAAAAACATCTACAAAAGTCTGAGGCAGTGAATTAAAGATAAAACATGTTTGTAAAAACAGAGAGTAGAAAACATGACGTGACCAACAGCTGAGACAGTGGAAAAACTCACTTCCTTCTAGCTGTCCTTCCTCTTACCTGCTCACCTGTGACTTCTGTAAACAGGCTGTGTCCACTTTGATGTCTCTTCCACCTACCCCTGACCACACCTCAATCTTAGCGCAAATACACACACTCAACTCAACTTCTGATTATTATCCACTAAGGCTTCAGTGTTTTGTCATCTAATATTAATCTTATTTTAAATCAGTGAGTGATTTATGATATTGTTCTGTTAATTATTTTCTGTCTTAAATGCTTCTTGGGGACACATGACATGTAAATGAATGAATGAATAAAAAGAATTCAATTTTTAACTTCATTTTTTTCCAATGTTTTTTTTTTTTTGGATTGCACCCTTCATCACAGTTAGTTGTCGACTCTGACCAAATTTTTTAGAGGCACACAATCACAAATTTAGCCTATTATCTTCATGTATACTCATCTTCTCTTTTATCTTTAAAAGCAAACACTAGACTTTAGAAAATAAAAATAAAATCCACTAAAACCATCATTTGACCTTACAAATCATGAAAAATAGTTTCAGTTTGGTTAGATTTATCAACCAAACATGGGTGAGAGGATCTGCCCTCAAACTGTGTGTGGTTGTAAAGAAATATCTTTTTTCTGAACTTTTGAATCCAGTATATACACAAAGAAAGAATACTGAAGAAAACTTGAACTTAAAGTGACGCTAAACTGCAATAAAAACAAAATAATTTTTACAGGATGGCCAGGATGGAGCTGTTATCATTTTGGGGTGGCATACATGTCTCACAAACAATGCATTGCAATTTAAGCAGCTTAAACTACACACCTGTACAATATTTGAATGTAGGTAGTGTAGCAAAGAAGCACTATACAAATGTAGCAGTGTTAATAGACAGTAGTACTTTGTATTACTACTGTGCCGAGAAGAGATCTTCTTCAGTTTAGCAAAGTAAGTTTATTACTCGAGTGAAAGTGAAAAAGAACATGCTCTGTAATGTAGTCAAAGTAAGAAAGTAAAAAGTGATCCTTGAAGGAAGATTGAAGGAAGACCATATTGTACAAAGGTAACTAAACCTGTGCAATATTAATATAATAATGTTACTACTTAAGAATACAAATATTGTTACAACTTAAACTATAATTTAAATAAATGGGGCTAGTTTGTAGGAGACATGCAGTAAACAAAAATAATTTACTGTTGCCTACATGGCAAAGGGTGACTTCACCTCCACACCTAAACAGTAAATTACAACAGTCAAGGTTAAAATTGGGATTCAGCAGATGGGAACCCTAAAAAAGGGAAAAAAAATCACAACTCATAATAATTTCTAATGTGAGCTTCAGTAGTTGGTCTTTTTTGTTTCTTTGTTTTTTGATTTGTTTTTTTAATGTACATGATGTGATCACAAGACCAGTGGCTCTTTGTGAATTTACACCATTAAATTCAACAAGATGTCAGCAGATGTTTCACAGCCATCCTGGTTGATTTCCATCCTCTACACTGACACTACACTGTTTACTTTCTCTGTGCTAGATATTTGGTTTGGTATAAAGTTGGAGTTCAAGACAAAAGTCTCGCTCGGTTTTGTTGCATAAAAGTCCAGATTATGTTATTGTGACTTCATTACCCAGCAGCCCTTGCTCAGTCATGGGATTGCATCCTAACACACTGTCCGACTCCAAAGAAGAGCACTGTTGTGAACTAAGTGAATCTCTATTTTGACACTTTAGTTAAATACAAATTAGAAATGATCACTAAAATTGGCTCATTATTTGAGCTTATTTATCTTTTGGGGGGTTTGTTTGTTTCCTTAAATATTGAATGTGTTTTTGAACATTATATTGTGTGGCTGTGTAAAGTGGAGGCGTTGTGAAGCCATGTTTCTGCTGCGCAGAGGTTAATTAGATGTGTAGTAGTGACTGCTGACCTGCCTGAGCAGGAATGATTTCAGTCCTTGTGTTCGATCACGATCTTGTGCTGCTTATGAGAATTGTTGAGAATTTATATTCTGCCCCCTTAAAGCACAAATAAGATAATGTAATTCCTTAAAGTTGTAACATTTTTAACTAGTGCTGTCAGCGTTAACGTTAACGCTAATGCTGACAGCAGTATTTAACCAGTAAAGAGTTTCCTTTTTTGGTTAAAAAAATGTGTGTTGCATTTTTAATTAATTTTATTAGGACACGTTAGCATTGTGAGATGTGAGGAAACACTGAGAGGAGGAAAAAAACTGCTCATCTTGTAAAGATGTCTATAATTTAGCATTTTCATTGTGATAGTTATAAAGCTTTTGTATGAGTTCAATAACAAAGATCTGTCATCACTCATCTGCCTGTTTGTTTGGGTTGCTTTTCCATTTTCTACATCACTACCATGTGGTAGCCGTCAGTGTCAATACTGTCATCATTACTCTTGTGGAATCATCTTCTTGCCTGCTTTCTTTGGAACCATCAGCCTCCACTTTTCGTAGTTTACATTTCTGCTCTCCATCATTCTCACTTTCAGACTCTCATTTGTGCAACCCACCTCCTCCTCACCTCCACATTAGTGACATTTCAGTTAGAGCTCCACCCAAGCCTCAGTCTTCATTTTCACTACCACCAGAGTCTAGACTCCAAGTGCTCCTGACCTAAATCCTATCACTGCTGGGATCCCTTTCTGTATCTCATTGGAATCTAATCTCCAAATACATTAGTTTCGCTATCTCAATAAATAAACAATAAATAATGTTTAATCCTTCCAAGTTCTTAAGTTCTCTCATTATTAAACCAGTTGTCTTGATTACAGATGTTATTCTTCTTTGATGAAGGAACAACATTATTTTTACAGGATTTGCAGCATCCATTTAAACATGTAAGAGTAGCAGTAAAATATAAACAAGACTCAAATTTAAATGAATGGTAAATTCTGGTGTCATTGTACATTGTTTTCAATTATCACTAATCCTCACGTTTAGAGTCAGACAGTATGTTATTACATCTTTCAATACTTTGTAGCTTTAACACTTTTCTACAAATGATCTCTACCAACCGTATCCACCAATAAAGAACATTTTCTTTAAGTGGTTCTTAAATTAAATAGTTTTATATTGTACATGTTGTCTTTCATGTGCATGGCACAGTATTCAAGTTTAAAAAAGGAGTCTTTATGTGGCCCTGCTAACAGTCTCCCTTTAAAATCTTTTATTTTGAAGCTCATTATTCAGACATGAGTGAGACACTGAGACAGCAAACAAAGAATGTCTTCCTAAAATGAGAAATAAATAAATCTGCAGTCAAAGGGTACGATAGTTGCTCAGAAAATGTGTTGTCTTTTCCAATATGATCTGAAAACAACTGCAGGTTTGGTTTAGAAGTAAACTAACTGCCTTGTACATTACTTATTGTACAGAGCTACAATGATACATAGGCAGCACATGATATAAATCCTTAGCAGGAATAACCTTCCACCAATATGAGGCTGAACATGAGCTCTGCTTCAGAAGTGATGCTCTATAGCGACATCTTCATTGTCATTATCCAATCCCTGCTCAGCCTCGTCGAGTGGGGTCTTTACCATTGAGGCGTGCATGTAGTTTCCTGTAAATGTTAGAAAGTTAAATCAGCTGCTTAAACAGGAAGAAATGATCAGTCTGATCAATGACCAGCATATTGACCGATCAGAGTGTTACCTTTGGCTCTGCACTGATATTAAAACACCATGAGGAGAGTGGAGGTGAAGTATTAACAGAACACCACCAGGTGGAGGACCACTCTGAATACCAACTGGAGGGAGGAGGAGTCAGGGGACAGTACTGAGGAAGAGGGAGGAGCTGATGTGGTTGGTGGAGCTGTGGTTGTAGGTTTTTCTGCGGAGAGAATCCCACCTGATCAGGTGAATATGTGGATGAAATAAGAGGTGAAATCAGAGTGAAGCTCCTCACCTGTGACAGTGATCCAGCTGGATGGAGACTCTCCATGGCCGCTGATGTTACACTTGTAGAGGCCTTCATCAGACCTGGAAACATGCTGGATGGTCATGTGACCTGTAGGCTGCTTCCTGATGAGGGAGCCATCTTTATAGAAAGCAGCTGGGAGGTTGGAGGGAGTGGTCTTTGTTTTACAGAGCAGAGTGACGTCATCTCCCTCCATCACAGGGAGGACAGGACTCTGCAGGATCACTGATCCACCTCAACACAGAGACAAACTACAGCATTTCATCCATTTACACACAGCTTCATCAACACTAACTCCACACACTCAGCTTACCAGTGACTGTCAGGTTAACCATGTTACTGATGGGACCCTCTCTGGACTCACACCAGTAAACTCCACTTTCCAGTGGGTCAATGTAGCTGATGTTACAGGAAAAACCAGCTGGTTTTCCCCACCCATCTCCACATTGAGTCCTCTGTTGTTTGCTTGTGTTTCTCCTCAGAGTCCATCCAGGAGAGCTGTCGTCCTCCTCACAGCTCAGAGACACAAAATCGTCTTTAAAAAACTGAGAGCTGCTGGGACTCACAGTCAGACGAGCTGAGAGGAACAATAAGAAATATACAGTGCATTATTTCCTTTTTGCAGCAATCAGACACCTTTCAGATCAACTGAAGTTATGAAACTTTGTGACCCTGCTGACCTGAGTGTTTTGAACTCAGTTAGGGAGAGTGGATTATGCAAATCAATAAGAAGGATTGCATTTCTAATATTTTACACTCCCATGTAATGCATCAATTTGTGCTGTTTAACAGACTCCATGTTTGCAATCTATCTATAGTAACTACTTGGTAAGTTTACACCTGCTTACTTTTACCAATGCAGCAGTATAAATTTCTACTGTGGCTTTGGCATCAATGAAAACAACTAACTCATCTATACCACAGCAACAGCGATCTTTGAGATGCTTGGCTACAAGATGAACAACAGCCACAAGGAGCTGTACCCTCCATAGAGATTGAGACCACAGCCTAAGGTCAAGGCAGCATGGAGGGAAGTTAGCCAACTATCAGAACTACAGAAAGCTGTGATAAAGAAAGGGGTGGCTCAGAGAAGACCACAGCAACTCCCCGAACAGGGTCCAGTATCCATCACAGTGGCAGACATTGAAGAAAGAGTCTAAAGCATGAAGGCTGGACAGCCCCAAGGACCTGACTTGACTAATGCCTACTGGCTAAAGAAGCTAATTGCACTAAATGAGCACCTCACAGTGTGACACCTACAAATGTATGGTCACAATTGTAATTTCTTTTGAGTATTTATTGTTATAAAATGACTTATTTACTGAATTATTGCACTGATTCTTAGTTAGGGTTATACAGATGTAATTGTATGGCTTTGCCACAAAAGGGACACAACTGAATGCAGTAGCTTGCTCCACGGCCCCCTTCTGTTTGATGAGGAAGTTACTGTAGACTGAAGGCAACAAATGTCTCCTGTCTCTACTTTTTCTGTTGGTACTCTGAGTTGTCAAATTGCATATTTAAAGGCATAAAACCTTGTTCATGTTAGTTCAATGAAAGTTGAATTTTGAAAGAAGTATATTTTCACAGATTCTCTGCTGGTTGAAATGAGAGTTGCTATTATCTAACAAAATGATGGGCCACACTGAATATGTGTTATTTATTTAAAAATGTAGCTCCTGGACAAGGTTCTATGATTGATAACATAACTTCACCCTGGTCCATTTCTCACTCATATTGTTTATGGACTGTATAGTAAATACTGATTTGGGGAGATGGGAGAATAAGACTTGTTTATGGTTTTCTGATGTGAAGTATTTTTGCATATGTTAAGATATAAAGAGAGTTTACTAAGATAACAATAAGTAGATTAATCACAGTGTTAATGCTATGAAACTGGACAGCAGAATTTAGTTATAGTGCTTAAAAATACAGATAAAGGGTATTTATTATTTTGTGTATTTATACCTCAAAAATGTAAACTTGATTTAATGTCATGGTTTGTGTTACAAGAGAACATATGGAGAAAAGATGGAGGAACATGTAAATGAGCAAAAGATTGGTCTAAAATTCTGCTTAATGAACAGCTAAGGAAGAGCCTGTAAAAGGAATACCCCTCATGTCTCCTGTACCTACTTTTCCTGTATAACACAGCTAAAGGCCTGTAACATAGTTTTGGAGATCAGCAAGCTGCACAGGCAGCTGATCCTGATCCTTTATTTAACAAACCTGAGGCAGACATCATTGTACAGGTATGTTGGAGCAGAGCAGCAGACAGCTAACTATGGAGGACTACCCTTGCAACTACACAGACACCTTAGCCTAGAGCTGGGAGTGAAACCAGTTAGCGACTTTACAGCAGCCATGGGACACTGTAAGCCTGATCATACAGTCATACATGAGAAGGACCATGAGTGCCAGAAGGAGTGTGGCTTGTGAATAGAAGAGGAGCGTAGCGTGTGTGGACCCACTGGGGCTCTGTGGGTCTGCCCACATTGCCCCCACACATTTGTTAGGTAAGGCACAGAAGCAGCACCTGCCTGTCTTTCAAGCTTGTGTTTGATAAGGACAGCTTATTTTAAAGTGAGTTGGTTTAAAGGGGAGGAGCTAAAAACAGCTAGTTTAGGACAGAGGATGAATTTAGAGAATACAGGACCAAGGCCCTGTATAAAATAAAGAATTATGAAAATGAAAACTTTAGAGTGTGACAGAAGAAGGTTACTGACCTTGCTTTGTTGTGCAGCACAGTAGGGAGATGACGGCTACAAAGGAAGACAGCTGGGTTAGCTTGAGGTTTTGCAGCAGTGTGTGCAACATTCAGAGGAAGTAAAACCATGCAAACCGCAATCATGTATGTACAAAGCAAAAAGCATGTATGGAAAAAGTGCAGACAAAGTCTTTTTTTAAACGTACACACAGTTTTCTTTCACAGACTAAACTGAGAGAGCCACTTGACAAAAAAAGAACAGTTTATTTATTCAATTTATTGATTCAAGGGTGCAATGTATTATCATCAGTAGTATTCCCTGGTTTTGTAAAAACACATTAACTCTGTTAATCTCCTTGATCTTTGAGCTACTCATTTTTTGGGGATCATCATAGCAGGTCAGCTTCCTCAATCTCTCCCTATCCCTAGTATAGTGGGGATATCAGGAATAGACACGGTTGGCACTGATTCACCCTGGTGTGTCGGCCAGAACACCACTTAAGGCCAAATTATCCCAGAGTACAGAAGAAGGAGCTTGATGTTTGGTTTGAGGATCTTTATTCTCTCACAGCTCAATTCCTGTGGCTGTGTGGTTTTCTACAAAAGAAGTACACAATACCAATAAATGTGTGTTTGTGTTACCAATACCAATACAGTGTAGAGATAAATGACATACTCAGATGTCATTTATCATTACATACAACATCCCAGTGTATTTCAGACCCAGCAACACGCTCAGACAAAAACTGGTTCACCCGAAAGACAAAACGCCAAAACACAGACTTAACAATGTGGTGTATGCTGTACAGTGCAGCGAGGAATGCCCAGACTTCTACATCGGAGAGACCAAACAGCCACTTCACAAGCGCATGGCACAACACAGAAGAGCCACCTCCACAGGACAAGACTCAGCAGTCCATCTGCATCTTAAGGATAAAGGACACTCTTTCGAGGATGCCAATGTTCACATTCTGGACAGAGAGGACAGATGGTTTGAAAGAGGAGTGAAAGAAGCCATCTATGTCCACTGTGAGCGACCATCTTTGAACAGAGGCGGGGGTTTACGACACCAACTCTCTGCCATCTATAATCCAGTTTTGAGATCCCTTCCCAGACGCCTTAACGCCCACTCACATCCTGGGCCATCTGACCTCAGAAATTCACATGATAAGGTGGGGCCAGGTTTCACAATGAACTCACCCGAAACTCTGGCTGATTGGGACCCACGCCCAGTTTCACACCTTGGCTCAGGTGATTAGAGGATCATCAGGGGGTCCTTTTGTCCCTCTGTGGGGGGTCACTCCCACTAGGTTTATATCTGGGACTCTCCACCATTTGACCTTAGAACTGAAGAAGCTTCTCGGATGAGAGGTGAAACATCTTCAAGCAACTTAAAGAAGTCCAGACGCTTTTCTTTCCAAGCTCCTGTTGTTGCGACAAATGCGTCCTTCATTTCCCCAAATTTGAAGGATGGGTCGGTGTGTCCTTCGTGGCCCACCATATCCCAGAATTCATAGCGCGGCCCAGCCAAACTGCAGTTTCCAACAACTACTAAGTTTTAAAATTACTCTTATTAATCCTTCTGGGTCACAAAATAAACTTTTAACATATTTTAAGGCGAGAAAGTAGCCGTGTAAATTACAAATATCTGCTTGGTTTATCAAGACATCGCATATTTGCAAAAGTGTGCCGACGTTTTCGGAGACGTCTGTTACCCACCAGCTTGATAGCAAGCCGGGGGGTTCAATGGTCACTCCAGCCGGCGAGAGCAGTGGACTCCCGGCGTCATCGTTTTCCGACCCCCGGTCTTTCGCTACTCAGGTTAAACATGATATATAAGTCACTCGGATAACTTAAAAATGTAATTGTTTGCCTTTTTTCTGTGTTTTATTTGTTCCGGAGTAAATTGGTTTGGCTGAGATCAAAGTTATTAGATTATTAGATTAAAAAAAAACTTTATTAATCCATCGGGTGGGTTCCTCCGGGGTTTTCACACAGCTGAATAAACGTTAAACAGAAAACTGATTAAACAGAAGTGTGAGGCGGTTGACAATTTACGCCAGTGTCCTGATATATTTTAGATAGCAAGGAGCAGACAGCCGAGTTTATTAAATTCCACCGACACAGCGGTGATGCCAATCTGAAGGCTAGACCAGACCCATGTCCAGACCATCTCAGCCTTGCCTCTTTCACTTTGTCTGTAAATTGATCAACCTAAGCGTTCCCTCTGATGCATTCATTTCTTTTCTTGTCCACCTCGGTCATTCCCTATGAAACCCTTAACATCTTCAGCTCAGTCTCCTTTCTTTTTGTCAGTGTCAACATCTCCAAACCATACATTATAGCAGGTCTCACGATCATCTTGTAAACGTTCCCTTTCACTCTTGCTGCTATCCTTCTGTCACCCCTGATACTCATTTCCACCTATACCACCCAGCCTGTACTCTCTTTTACACCACTCTTGTGCACTGTCCATTGATTTGAGTGGTTGGCCCTAAGTATTAAAACTCTTGTACATCTTCACTTTTTCACCATCCTCCCTCTCACCCACACAAGTATTCTTTCCTACATCTACTTTCTTTAATTCCTCCTCTCTCCAGAGCATATGGCCACCTCTGCAGGCTCTCTTCCAACTGCTCCCTGATCTCACTACAGGTCAAAATGTTGCCTGCTAACATCAAAGTCTAGAGATTCCTGCCTGGCCTCAGCCTGGTTCCAGCAGATTGCCACTGCTCCCCGAGTCTGGTTCTGCCAGAGGGTTCTTTCTGTTAAAAGAAAGTTTTTCCTTCCCACTGTCAACTTGGTTATAGGGGTTATCTGATTGTTCAGGTTTTCTCTTTTCTCTGGAGGGTCTTTATGTTGCTATATAAAGCACTTTTAGGTAACTGTTGTAATTTGGCAATATATGAATAAAATTTAATTGGTTTTGGTATCTTATTTCTTTTACTGCTGCAACATAGTGAGTTAGATTTTTTCTGTGAACCAGTGCTGAGTCACTAAATATATTCATAAATCCGATCAAAGCATGGTTCAGTGGCATATTTATTAGGATTTGGGCCCAGTATAAACGGAAAATGTATTTTCTAATCTTAACCCAAAAATAAAATCAAAAAGTGAACTTACAGAGCAGTCGGAGTAGAGAAGCTCTGTTCATCATGCTGTTTATGTCTTTGATCAGTTCACATCAGATAAGACAACCCTCCTCCGTCCTGACCGAGCATCGCTGTCAGCACTGTGGTTTCCTTTTCAGAGAAAATTCAACACCTTTCTTTTTTTTTTTTCTGTTTGTTTCTATAGAGATGAGATATTATTAAAACAAGAGACTGGAATATGTCACAAAGATGAAAATATTTAGAAGTTGAAATCAAAATCAAAGGAGAATATTTGTATAACCAGTATATGTTTATCGTTAATGCTAAAATGACACATATCTGCACTAAAATTCAGATTAGATAGTTCCTGTTTCATATTGGTAGAAACAAGTTTTGTCTTGCGGTAGCTATCAGTGTTTCAGCTGTACACAAGGCCTTTTGTTTCTGCATTTCACACAGACCTCTGCTCTACCTTAACCACAAACTTTTTTTAACTACATGCTATAATGCTTAACTATTGAAAGTCCACCCATCTATCACCCATCTGCTTTCTGCAGCTTATTCAGGTGGACTTTCTCCAGAACTTCTGTAGGTTCATCAATGCTTTCTTAACCCAGCCAAGAGACAAGTAATGGTGCATGAAGAACCAGCTGGTTTCCCTCATGGCTGTGTTTCTGGACATGGTTTTACAGTTTTTTTCTTAATTTGTGAGTTCTCATCAGTCTGGACTAATATGCCCTTCACATATATGCCAGAACATAATATTTGCAACATTTACAAAGCAAATTCTGTATATTCTGTAATGAAGCAGATCATCTAAACTGTCATGCTATTTGTGTGTACTGACCACGTAAGATCCCCTGTACATCTGGCTGAGGATCTTACGTGGTCAGTACACACAAACAAAACAGTGAAGAAGGCGCAGCAGCGCCTCTTCTTTCTCAGGAGACTGAAAAGATTCAGCATGAGCCCCCGCATCCTCAGGACCTTCTATCACTGTGCCATTGAGAGCATCCTCACTGGATGCATCACCACCTGGTATGGCAACAGCACCGCCTACAACTGCAAAGCTCTCCAGCGAGTATTGCGGTGCTCTGAACGGATAATTGGAGGTGAGCTTCCCTCCCTCCAAGACATCTACAGGAAGCGCTGCCTGAGGAAAGCGGGGAGGATCATCAAGGACTCCAGTCACCCCAGCCATAAACTGTTCAGACTGCTTCCATCAGGAAGGAGGTTCTGCAGCATCCGGTCCCGTACCAGCAGACTGAGAGACAGCTTCTTCCATCAGGCCATCAGACTGCTGAACACGTCATAGACACCTCAGCTTCACTACTGGAACTGCAACACTATGCACTCCATACTGTACAGTAATGCCACTGTTTTGCACATGTCTCACTCTGTATATTTTTATATATTTTATTTATTGTTTACTCTATTTAATTTGTAAAAATGTGTACATACACACACACACACACGTAGGAAAACATTTAGTATACACATCCAGAAATGCATACACTATTATATATTGTACATATATTTATTAGTTTCAGATGTAGCCATTCTTGTATTTTGCTTGTTTACGTTATTGTATTTTGCACAACTCTGTTGCTTGTGAAGCTCGCACACAAGAATTTCACTCACATGTACTGTACCAATGTACCTGCACATGTGATGTGACAATAAAAGTGATTTGATAAAAGTGATTTGATTTGATTTGATTTGATTTGCTAGAACCTCAAGGTTGACTCATAACATTTTTAGTAATTTTTTGTATAATTTCTAATTTTGACTAGAGACCGGCCCACCATTATAGGAAAAATCATTAAGCTTTTGAATGCACACAAACGCTGTTGCGACAGTGATGTACACTGTTTTGATGGTATATATGCATCAATCTATCAGTCGTTTGTTGTAAGATTCAGATAATTATTTTTTAAAAGCTAGACATTTTAAATGAGAATAAGAAAGAAAAGTATTTCTTTGCGCCCCCTCTTCCTGTTAATGCCCTACATGGCCCCCTGGCAACACTTTGCTAGACCCGCCCCTGCACAGTTACCAGCTGTCAGCTACGCAAAGAAAAAAAGGATCCTGGTGTTATTTGTCTCTCAGAAACAGTTCATAACTTCCCTTCAACTCATTCATGTCACCTAAAAGGTAAACCTGTTTCTCCATCACAACTCTGATGATTCAGTAAGGACATCTCCTGGTTTCATCCTCATGTTTCCCTCTCACCAGATAACCAAACCGTATCATGACAGCAGCTTTACAGCTGTGGCTCCAGCAAACATCAGCTGATAGTAGAAATTAATATTAAATCAATTCTAACAAAAGCTGATCAAGCTTAAACATGCTGCTGTTGTTTAACAGACCTCCGCTGGTTTCTTCTTTCTGGGGCAAAGTGGGCGATAAACAAACAAGAGAGAAAAGCCGATCAGCTGATCATTGATCTTTTTCATGATTGAAGTAGAAACAGGAGAGGCAGGGGGAGAGAATGAGAGAAGAGGCAGCTGTGCAGCAAAGACACAGTAACTCCAGCTTTGTGTCTTTTTCATTGCAGCTGAAGTCCGGGACAAACTGTGCTCCTTTTCACCTCAATACGAAACGCGTAATATTTTCTCTGAATACGAGACGATTCCGTTTTTTACGGGACGGTTGGCAACTCTACTAATTAACCTTATTAACAAAATAAAGTTCTCTATCAGTAACATCATAGCACCCACCCAGCTGTACAGAAACTCCGTCATGCTAACTAGTACGCAGTACGAAAAAGTCAGCATAATGAAAATAAACTCCACCTAAACTTGGTTCATATCTGACCCAGATGGACTGCATATCATAACTTCTTACCTGAAGTTCAGTTCACCTGACACTCTCGGACCAGCGGCCGCCTCGAGTCTGTCCCCTTTCCCCTATCCACCTGCTGGCCTCCACCACTTGCTAATGTTACTGAATCTGTGGAAGCTCCGCGATAGCCACCACACGAAGTAACGAATAACGACCCTATCTAAATCCCAGTAACGACTAACGCGTTCTTGGTTTTGTCCCCGCTGCTGTTCATGCATAGGCTTGAACCCCCTCAGTGAGATCATTAACAAGTGTATAGGAATTTCTTTTACTTATGTATTCATCACATTATTTTATTCTATAATGCCTTGGTGCCACTGGATTGTCTCACACTCATACAGTAAGACAAATGGTGGGGGTCTAGTAAGGAAGTTGGGGGAAGCAGACAACTCCACAGGAAGAATCTTTTGTCTCTTTGAGGTCTCTGGGAGGTAGCAAGGGAGTGTGAATCTTAAGGTGTGAAACAGCCGTGTACTGCCTTTTGTTCCTGGAGAAGGTATTTAACTGAGAGCCATGCTAGGCTCAGGAGAGTTTCTGCTGACCGTTTGTCCCGCGATCATGCAGCCTCTCCACAAGCTTGGTTTTTCTGTTCTTTGTGTTTTCATTAAAGAATGTTTGCTACCGCTCACCGCTCGTCTGCAGGCTTTATTTAACGGAAAACTTCCACAACACAAGACTGGCTACGGATACCGACCATGGAATGGAGCAGTTGTCAGCCACCTCCTGTACATGGATGACATCAAGCTGTATGTCAAGAGTGAACGAGACATAGATTCACTGATCCACACCACCAGGATATACAGCAAGGACATCAGAATGTCATTCGGACTGGAGAAGTGTGGTCAGATGATAACAAAGAGAGGGAAGGTAGTCCGAACTGAGGGGAAAGAACTACTAGAAGGCAACATTGCAGACCTGGAAACCAAATGGGAACCATGAAGACACTGCTAGGAAAGCTGCAATCACCAACTACCTGCAGAGGGTCAGACAGGGGTGGCTGTAGCTCAGGAGGTAGAGCAGATCATCTACTTATCAGAAGATTGCTGGTCTGCATTTCAAATATCCTTGGGCAAGATATTAACCCTTTAAGACCTACCATAGAACCAAGTCCGGTGGTGTGGTGCCATTTTGGGAGCATTTCAAGTTGCTATACATCAATACAACAATTATAGCCCAGATTTTAATAATATGTATTCATTAAGTGCATAGTAATTACATAAATTGCAAAAAAGTGCAATAAACTACAAAAAAATTGAAAATCGTTTTTGCTTTTTTAACATGTATTTCTAGTTAGAGAAATTTAAGAGGCTTATCCTCAAAACTGTAAATACAAAAAAGTTGCACAAAATAGTTTCCCACCACAGGAAATTTAGTTTGAGTGTCTTCATAGTTTTATTTTTGAAATACACAAATTTTTATATACTGCAGGAAAAACAAAAATAAATATTAAACTGCAAATTTGCAAAAAAGCAGCATGTGCATCAAAATAAACTATTTCCAGCAGTGCAATATGAGTCCTAAGCATCCCAGAAACGACACAGAAAGTCATAAAGTCAAAGATAACTTTTAAAAACACCAGAATAGGCCCTGTGGCCCTGATGGTAAAAAAAAACTACATTTCCGCGAAAACGACGTCACTTCTGGTTTCGGGCAGGTAATGGTGGACATGCAAAAGTTCGTGCTGACGTCTATTCCAAAGTAGGAAGTGTTATGAAGAGCTGATTGGATCGGCAAAGCGTGTTTCTGGAATATTATGTTTTTGTTGCTGCAAGCGCTTTTTATGCAGTTTTTGCAAAGCTATATGTGGAAGGAAACTGTGACCTGGGACAAGCTGATGGCATAAGATGTAAGTACAACTCCTCCGGTTTCATATGCAAAAAAAATTATTGCGCTAGCTTACGTGGTTGCAGAGCTACCGGGATTTAAAAATAGTTACGCAAAACAGAGCGTGCCCGCTCCGACCGGCTCTGAAGGGTTAACCCCAAGTTGCTCACTGATGCATCCATCGGTGGATGAATGTGTGTGAATTGTAGTTCGTAGGCACTTAAAAGCATTGAAAACAGTGCTCTTGAGAATGTGGTATGTTGTATAAAGCACTTTCAGTACTCTGGGTGAGTAGAAAAGGGCTATATAAGAATCAGTCCATTTACCATTAACAAGTCCTTAGGAGTCAGCTGAATGCTAAGAACAAGATCTCTCGCTTTAAGCCGAAAGACTCCACCA